AGAGGGGAGACAATAGGTGTGACTGGGCAAAGGAGAATGAGGAACACTGGACCCAGGAATGTTTTTGCTGAAATGAGAAGTCCGGTTAGAAACAACACTAATGACCCTACTAGTCTAATGCCAATGACCAGAGCATGGTCAAAGTAATCTTCCAAGTGGATGAGTGTGGTCTCTTAAGAATCACTAAAACTTTGGGGTTGTGAACAGAATGAGACAGAGAAATGCAAGGAGGGAAATACAGTTACTCTAAGTAGGGAATACAGCAGCCATTTCTTTTTGGTTGCCCTACTTAATCCTCACCGTAACCCAACCAATCCCTACTATTACAGATCAGGGTAATGTGGCTGGAAAAAGCCTAGTAACTCAAAAAACCAGTAAGTGGAGGATCAAGAATCATAATTCAGGTCTTTGTCTCAAAAGCCCACACTCTTCCTATTACACAATGCTGCTGCCTCAAAGGAAAATTTACTGGGCTCAGAACAGAAGCAAAGTAAAACACCCAGTCTGGCATAACAGACAAGAGAAATAAATGTGATAGCATTCTATTAAACTGAGCCATCAGAAAAGAAAAAGATAATGTGAGAGTAACGGAAATCTTGGAAGAAAATAAGTATGTTCTTTCAGTTTGGAACAGCAACACAATGCATGCTAGAAATATGTGAACATGCACCCACTAGTCTTAGAAGAAAGGAAATGACAACAGGCTTCAAAGATACAGTTCTAGGGCTAGAGCCTACAGATGAAAATACAAATTGGCAAGGTAAAATTTTTAATCAGATAAAAGAACTGATACTACTGTAAAAACATGCATAAAACTGGTTTCCATAAAGTAGTACCAGAATCCTGATCCCCATGCTGTCCTTATTAGTTTGAATGCAAATCCTACAATCCTCCCAGAAGATGTTGGCGTAAACTGTGGTAACATCCTTGCTTTGCCCAATGTTTGCGCTACCCTAAGTGAAGTCGGGATTCACAATAGCTATGGTCATTTAGATATGACAGTAAGCATCAAGGTATGAGGAATTTTTTGAAAAACTGAGACAGACCTCGTCGTCATTTTCTGGCATCATGTTAACAAGTCACAGAAGCAAGGCAGCTGCTACGTGGTGAAAAGACAAAATCACCAGAACTGGAGAGTCACAAAGGCTTGTATGCAAGGCCCAGCTTTTATGTATGGGTAGTGTGACTCTGGATGAGTCACTTACCTACTCAGACTTCATCAGTGAAGTCAGAATGACACTTAGCTCCCCAAATAAAAATGCCATGTCAAAAGTCAGGTACACAAAGACATTAGGTTTTACAGTGAATACTCAAAATACAGTGTTTGAGTTTAACTGATGCACACAATGGTTGCTTGTGAAAAACAAAAGACACTTGTTTCACATGCTCAAGCAGAGATATTATATAATGTGACCCCATCTCATCTCCACATAAGGCCTCCCACGCCTTTGTAACTCTTGCGCCTCACAAGCACCAGAACCCAAATGTGTGATAACACATCTGCACAAGTACCACTGAGAAGTGAGTGACCACTTGGGGCAACGTCAGCTCTGAACATAAAATCTATCCCATCTGCCCCACAGTTTCCCAGTTTATGTCCCCGAAGATAGCATATTTTCAATCAAGCGCTTCTTCAGCTGGATATGAGTGACCCAATGCCCCCCAAAGATGAAGATGCTGTTTATGTCTGACTTGAAATCACAAGAAAAGCCATCTTCAAAGTCTATTCTTTCCTTCCTTTGTTTGAGTCAGCCTGACTGACTTGGAATGCTGATGTAACACTACTTCTGTGTATGTGTATGTGAGCGTATACACATGTTAATGTAATTCAATAGTACTGGGTTAAACTACAGAGAAAACATTTCTCAGCCCTTGATTAAGGCCTGCATTAAACCATCAGACCCCATCACAAGCCTTGCTGATGAGTAGCTATTTGGACACACACAGAGCTGTGATTTCCATCCACTTTACTAATCAGCAAGTTCAGATTTGCTGCTAATGTGACATTGATGAACAGGAATGATGCTAATGTGACAGTGATGAACAGAAATGACAGCTCAGGGTTGATTAAAATTAGCTAAGGTTCTTCAATCCAGGACCAAAATGGAAGAGCTCTGAAAACAGCTACAGCCAACATGCATCTCTGAAACAGAAAGGAAACACCAAAAACGTATGTTTACTGATTACACATAAATTTGAGCAAATATACACTGCAATGTGACATCGTTTAAAATGTAGGCAGTCATTATTCAAATCCTACACTAAATCAAAAATGGCAATAAACACGGATACACAGAAGCCAAGTGCCGAGCAAAGCACAGTGTCAAAAGGTAGAGGATATGATTTGATGATGAAAACACTGGGCATACTAGAAACAAAAGCAAGTACTTATCAAAGCTGAAATAAAATTCTCTGCTCTACAGTAATGTAGGAAGAGCGTTCTCATCTGCCATGTAGACTTCTCGCATTTGTCACTGTGAGAGGTTGGAGTTAAGAGATTTTCTCCCCGGGGCGCCTGGGTGGCTCAGTCGTTAAGCGTCTGCCTTCGGCTCGGGTCATGATCCCGGGGTCCTGGGATCGGGCCCCGCATCGGGCTCCCTGCTCGGCGGGGAGCCTGCTTCTCCCTCTCCCACTCCCCCTGCTTGTGTTCCTTCTCTCGCTGTCTCTCTGTTTGTCAAATAAATAAATTTAAAAAAAAAAAAGAGAGATCTTCTCCCCAACCTTCAGGACAATCCCGTCACATTCCTCACCTCCCCTTTCCTCTCCATCTACTCCCACGACATCATGGCCATGTTGGTATATTAATACATGGGGCAACAGAAGAATCCCTGAACTGGGTCTCTCAGAGTCGAAATGTACTCCTGGCAGAACTAAAGAAGCTGGGAACATAGGTCTCTTTTCCAACATAGTGGTCTTCACCTGTCCACCAACGTTTCTGGCAGCATAACCCAGTTTCAAAGAACTGAAAACCAGAAACCAAAGCCAGAAAATCTACACAGAAATGGTGTAGTCAGCTGTGGCTTGTCATGGCAAGAAGCTGACCATAAATAATCCATGCTGAAGAGGCTACGCTCCTCAGAGCTCGAGTAAAACAGAATACAGTGTTTGGTTTGGTTTTTTTTTTTTTTTTAAGCAAAAGTCCATTCATACATGCTGCCACTGTTAAATTCTAAATAAAGTGACCAGATTCTCATGTTGACAGTATTGAATTTAATTCCCAGAGACAGATTTACTCAAAACCTAACAGTAGGTCATTCTAAAAGTGCTGGTATCCACAAACTACAGTGTCCTGCCACAGGTCTTCATACCAGCACTGAAGATCAAGACGTATTTCCATATAAATATTTATATATATGAGGTACTATAAGAAATAAGTGTATTCTATGCCAAAAATATTGGTCTTGGAATTCTAGCAAATTTTAATTCAGGTTTTGTATAATGCTAATATATTGCTAACAACTGAAATATTCTACTGGTAAACACTAAACAGAAATGGTTAATTGGCCTTCTAAGAATCCAAAAATCTATAAATAGACCAGACACATTTTACAAGCGTTTCTGAAAGGAGGTAACAAAGGAGATCAACGAATAAGATACAGTGCTCAGAGCTTCTGTAATCAGATATTGAAAGTCAATCAACACAGGCAAATCTTCAATTACTGTATTCCCAGTGGCAATCATTGGCAGGGCTGTTCCTGGGTCATCCTCCATCCATGTAATTTTCACCCTGAAATCTCAGGGAATAGACTATTTTCAATGAGAATCTCTCATTTGAACTCTAACATCTATAGTAAGCTTACTCTCTTTTTAGTAAATAGTCTTCCCTCATGCATAATTGTCTAAATTATCCTTTATTAGAATTCCTTCGCAAAAGTAAATTTTCTGAAATTATCTGAATTACCTTATTGCTTGTAAATAAGTCAATTACAGGAGCCTCTAAACAAATTTATATGGGAGTAAATAATTCATCGTGTGTGTGTGCGTGCGTGAACTCATGCATGCACACATGCGCATGTTCGCTAAAGTTCAAAATCTAACATGGTTTCCAAATTTAGGAATAAATGTGGCTAATTTATGACTTGGCCACACCAGTCTTACTCACTTCCAAAAGCTAAGGGTATCAAAAGCAGGCTTTCTCTTAGGTCAATGGTTTCTTCTAGCATTGCTCTTCGCTTTGTGACATTAACTTACCACCATAGCACCATGTATGAAAAGCTCTCTGGTAAATAAATCACCTACGCACCACCTCTTGGTTACTCTGCCTCTCTCTGTTTACACAGTGGGAAAACGCAATTGATATTCATTTCCTAAGAGATTTTTCACTTAAGCAATTTATCCTAACTCTTCTCGTTCTGATAATCCCTCTAAAATACTTAATTCTGACCAGCCACATGCTAATGAATACGGTTAGTAAGTCAAGTTCAGGCTAATGGTGAAAGAAAAAGTTCAGAGAATTTTTGGAAGGAAGTGGGCTCCCCAAAATTATAAATAGTAAATACCAGGTACTTGTAGGTCCACTGGGCCTCTGTTTCCCAAAACTGATTTCTAAAAACTACCCAATAAAAAATTAATAAAAACTATCACATTATTATTAGACAGATTCACTGAAAAGAAGTGGTACAACTGAATTCTCAACTCCAAGAAGGATTTATGGTTCCTAAGGACTACTAGATTTTTCACATAAAAAGAATTTTTTTCATGCATTTTTTCTTACAGAGTTTGACAGACCTGCTCCCTAGCCTTCCCTGGGCCTCCAAGGAAGGGCAGTGCCACAGGCCCTGACTATAGCCAAGTCTTTCTTGGTTTTATCACCATCTTCCTTTGTCTCCCCTCCAGTTTTCACCTACTTGTCAACATTTTACACATGAATATAAATTCAGTTACTGAATCTGTACTTAGAAGCCAAGGAGACTATACTGTAAGTCAAAAGCGCTAAACATGAAATAGTTTATTATATTAAAACTAATTTAAAAAGCATGGGTACTCTCCAACATGGATGGTCAGTTTCCATACAATACGGAAGGCAGCTTCTGTGGTTCAGGAGTTAAACCTAGGAAAGACCACATACATTCGTCTATAGTCAACAAAATAAAGATACCTTCTCATACAAAGAAAGAATCAGCTATATTCTAAAAGCTACGAATAATATTGGGTACTATACTATTAATTTTAGTTAAAATCTCTTCCTCAGTAGAAATGTTATTTTGTTCTTTTCCTACAGTGCTGTTTTGCTACAGAAAATTGTGCATTAAGAGGTACGTGGTTGTATACATAAACCAAGACGTGTCTATTATTCCATCCACGTTTAATGTTCAGTCTCTACTAGGTCCTGCCTCCCTGAATCTTGTCGTATGTCTCACAGATGTCTTACAGAGTTTAACCAGGGAAAAAAGGGTTAGGGTAAGCCCCTCCATCATGTTCAAGGTTATACACTTAATAGGCCAAAGCACCTGACACCATTTGTTCCTTCCTCACAGATGCCTTGGAATGGAAAGTGAATCGACTCACATCCTTTGCTTCCTTTTACCTTTGACAAAGCTGCACATGTACAAAAACCTCTAGCCTTTCTCTGTCACTGCTTCTGACTTCTTTTTATTCTCAAAGCCTGCAGCTCCTTCCATTTATACCCAACTAGAGTGACTTAGAAATCATATGACCAACTTTCTTGGATTAATCAAAAGTATGCAGAGTAAATTCACCTGTACTTTAACTTCTTTTTAGGAAATCTGTATCTGAAGAGGGATAAATGTACCTCTGTTTAAAAAAAATATAGTTAGCTGGTGGGAAAAGAAAATGGCCAGGAGTTCAAATAATTTACCTCTTTTCTAGGCTACGGTGTCACACCACTCCCATGTTTTAACTGGCACTTCTTGGCACCGTAGCATAGATTGAGAGTGTGAGCTCTGGACTCTGATAGCTCTTGCCCCACCATATTCTCGCAGGCTATGCGAGCTTGGGCATATTACTCAATTGCTCTGGGCGTCCTTTTCTACATATATTCCTACACTTCCTAGAGGATTAAATGAAATAATGCCTGTATGTGGCTGACATGTTGTACTCTCCCAATAAATGTTAGTGGAGAGGTTGAAATGTTTCTCTCTCCAATTACAAAGGAGGCTCCAGACTGCTATTCCTGGTCATCCCTGCTTACTTCATTTGCAAAGACCGAATAATTCTCCAAACTGAAAAATGATGACCTAGATATGCCTTTGAATCTCCAGATGAAAGTGGTATTTTAAACATGATTTCTCTAATTGTCTTTTTGTTCTGAATAATCATGCCTCATAAGCAATGATGCCACATGAAAAATGAACACAGACATACAACTCATCAAAAGGTAACATAATAGGGATTAGAATCAGAAAGGCACAGGTTTGAATCCCTGCTCCACAATTTACTAATTGAGTTATTTGATCTTTCTGATGCTCAGTGCCCCATCTACAAAATGGGATAATACTTATACTCACAGATTTATTACCACCATCAGATGAAATAATATGAGTGAAGCACCTGGCACAAAATAAGGACTCAAACATAAGCTCCCTTCCTTGATGAGCATAATGAGCTTAAACTAAACCCCTTCCCCCCAAAAGTTGCTTTTTATTCCCAAGGGAGCAGGGATATCTGGATGCTAGGGATTTATTTGTGGAAATCTGTTCTTAATATCGTTCTAGTTACATAAACAAGTGATATGTACTAATTACACTGGGGTTTTACTTTTTGATATAAAGGCACACCATACACCATAAACATAATAAAAAGCGAAATAAGAAGGAGAAGAGGATAACAAGGGAACAGCTGGTATAAACTGTGCACATCATTCAGAGGCAATGGGGCCAACAGAGTTTTTCAATAAAAGCAAAGAGAACACTAGGTGGTAACGAAATGGATACTTTAGATCTTGGGAAGCAAAACATATTCACTACTCTTTGGGATGCCAGGGGAGGCTTGGATAACATCTCCTGTCTTAATGAGCTATCCTCCATTCCCAGCTGTTCACAACAATGACAGAGTTCACTGTGGCAGAGAATCCACATACAAAAACTCCACAGTCCCTAGAGCCAGAGGTGCAGGGCAAATGCTAAATCATACATCTGTTGGTGTTTGGAAGTATAAATGAACAGGGATTTAAAAACACACACACACACACAAAACCACCTTGCACATCCGGGATCTTTCTTCTCCAGTAACTGTCAAACCTATGTATATTTTCTAATTCCTTTTCCTTTTGTTCAGACAAACGCGTTGGCTCTGAGCACTTTTTATAAAAATGAACTCCCTTTTATTTTTTAGACTAGTTTTAGGTTTATAGAAAATTGAAGAGTGTAGAGAGTACCCATATATCCTCTCAATCTGAGCACTTTTAAGGGCCCTAGCTCATTTAAGATATTAAATGGTCATGCAGAATTTGAATAAACCAATAAATTAAGTGACCAAAGAAGAAATTTTGAAACCCTAGTCCCTTTTTGGGTTTGCATAAACCAAATGAGGTTAACAACAATCTGAATACAATACTATGATCACCCACTAAAAAAAACCCAAACAAAAATGTGTAGCTGGTAGTTTTCCAGGGCATCACTGAAGCCAAACTCAAAATCATAGTAACTGATAAAATATTAAAATACGTTTGTAACAATCAGAATTCTAACAGCCCATTAACAACATCAATATTTCCTTTTCCTTAACCTCCATATGTGCTAAGACCATAAAAAAAACATTTCATAATGGATCTCCAATCTAAAGAACTCTGAATGTTCCTGAGATCAAGGTTCACAGCTTTGTGTTCATTAGACAGCCTCTTTTAACTATGGAAGTGTTCCCTTCTGTTTTTAACAAGATGAGGTGGTCTACCGGGTCATGAAGACACATTAAGCAAAAGATTATCAGGTAAGTCTTCACTGCCACTAGGAAATAATTAAGTGGGTAATAAAGTGCAGAGGTTCTCAAAGTGTGGTACCTAACTTGTTAGAAATGCACATCCTTGGGTCCCACTCCTGACCTAATAATGCATCAGAAATTGAGGTGAGGGAGTGGCACCCAGCAGTCTGTGTTTTAAGAAGCCCTCCAGATGATTCTGATGCAAATAAAGTTCAGGAATGAATGATATATTCAAGGACATCTGTCCATGAAAAATAGAAGATAAACAGTAAACATGTCCCCTACCATCCTTTTTTTTTTTGCTAAAAATAGGAAAGAATTTTGATTATTTTTAGAACAATGTTGCATTTCATTTGGGAATTTTGATGACTGTTTTGTAGGGCTTCCTACAGTGGTCTACTGAATAGAATACTTTTAGCTGCTGCCATTTTCTCTACTGGGGGCGATGCACATTTTTCATTGCATCCCCAAAATGAACAAAACCTTTTGTTTCATCCATATACAATTTTTCCCTTCTATACAATTTGAAAGCAATTCTTTTTTTTTTAAAGATTTTTTTTTTTTTTTATTTGAGACAGAGAGAATGAGAGAGAGAGAGCACATGAGAGGGGTGAGGGTCAGAGGGAGAAGCAGGCTCCCTGCTGAGCAGGGAGCCCGATGCGGGACTCGATCCTGGGACTCCAGGATCATGACCTGAGCCGAAAGCAGTCGCTTAACCAACTGAGCCACCCAGGCGCCCAATTTGAAAGCAATTCTAACCAGGGTTTTTGACTACATTTTTTTCTTTAGTTTTACAGTGACTTTCCAGCTTTCCCAAACTACACTCCAGCACACTGCCTACATCTCATTCCTCTGCCTAGGCCTCAGGGTGTGATAAAACAGACATATCACAGGAATATCCTAGGTTCAGACAAATCAGGCAAAGGTCTCTGTTTGTAGGCTCGAGCCCTTAACCAACATAAAAAAAACCCAACTACTGCATAAATATATGAAAAAATATTCATATATTTATGAATATATATATACACACACACACATATATATATTCATTTCAAACCAACTGCAGATACAAGAAAAATCCAACTAATGGGAGTGGTATTATGATTAGTGTCCCAGAAAATTTTGCTCCCTTTTCTACTGTCATCTAAATCTATTTCCCATGATGTCTCTGTAGTAAAATTACTACAGAGTAGTAATTATAGTAGTATAGTAGTAAAATTATATTCTTACTGTTATTCCCCTCTGATGTGCCCAGAGAAATGAAATGCCTTTGAGAATCTATTTGCAAAACTAGATAGTCATGATATATTTGTTTGCTGCCGGAAGCTCTATCCTGGGAAACTTCTCTCCTGAGAAACAGAATATAGGATCAATGGGAAAACTTCTACAGAATCTTAGATCATGTATTTAAAAAAAAAAATTCTCCTCAAATCAATTTGGTCTTTCTTCTTAGACCAGTGAGTAACTGGTTTACTTCAAATTACTGATCCTGTATCACAAATTCCCAACCTGACATCAACTTGGATAAAGGAGGAGTGGTCAACATTTATAAATGGGATTAACTTATTTCAGCAAATTGGAAAGAAAAAGGTGGGTATTTCTGTCAAACTGATTTATGCTTTTGGTCTACACCATCCCAAAGAAATAAGAATTTCTCAACAGCTTAGGTAACGATACTGTATTGGTCTCTCAAGTGAAGAAAGAGCCAGTTACTGGGGAAAGGAAAATAATGTACCCAACATACGTCTCTTCTGGCAGAAGACGCTGAGGACACCGAAGCCTTAGCAGCACTATAGGACTCATCTGCTAAGGTTTAGGGAAGTTAGTCCTTCAGGAACCAAAGGCAAATAACTTTCTCTCTAACTTGGGAATATTAGCTCAGGAAAAATACTGATAGGAAAGCAGGAATTCCTTTAGGAAACGGCTTCTTAATCTGGGATCCATGGATAGAATTCAAGGAGTGCATGACCGTGGATGGGGAAAAAGCTTATCTTTATATTACTAACTGCTAACTGAAATTAAGCATTCCCTTCCATTATGATCACAGGCAACAACAATAGTATGAACATACCTGCAACTCTGTCACCAACAGACATCAATAATATTTTCATATCCTATTACAATTGTTCTAAGTATCTCAAAATTATGCTCACAACTGCTTTGAAAAATAGT